TGTAGGTCGTTTCCAGCCTTGCTATTATAACACAGTTTTCTAGGTGAAAGATAATACGCTCATTAAGGTGAAAGTGTTCATTTAAAAATAAAGCAAAATGGAAACCCAAAAGTGCTCTGTTACATAGAAAGCGAGCATACCTAAATAGACTCAATTTTTGTTTTTCATGCTCTGCCATATTCTATATTAGAGCAGTAGGCAGCTGAATAGTTGTTTAGAAATGAAATTGTGTTGTTCCTTTGACTTCAAAAACCGCTGATTAGAATAACAATGTTTTCATGTAGTCCTCTATTCACAGAACACTGATGTAACAGAGAGAAGTAATAGAATGATTCTCTTTATCTCTTCATGTAATCTAATTTTAAAATATATTCTAATTCATAAATGATGAATGCTGGCACATCATTCAAATAGGACATTTTGAACAATTACATTCTTGGCATAAATCACAAATTCCTGTCTCTCCGTCAACTTCCAACCAAATCTGCTTTTATGGAATAACTTCTGTACTAACTTATTTTATTATAGAGTTTTTATTTTGAATTGAATGGCTTTTTTTGGTTAAATATGGTATTTATAGAAGTTTCTTTGATGAAAGCCTGGAAATTTCTTGCACGTAACAGAGCCTGGCTCTTAGATTAGTGATCACATTTGTAAAGGACTTCTATGGCTTTATAGTATACTTTCTCACTTTCTTATTAGACCCTTATTTGGGTGGTACTCTGTAGAATTCATATTTTATGATGAGAGTAAATGTAGGGGAAGATGTTTTGGCCTAGATCTGAGCATCTAGCAGATGTTCGGTACGTTCATTTGAGAGGGAAATTAAAAAAGTGAACCCAACAGGTTATTTAACTTTCTCAAAGTTACTCAGAAAGTATAATGTAACACCAAGAACTGAACTTGCCTCATTACTTCTCTCTGCCTGCCATTTCCTCACTTGTATCTTTGCAGGCTTTAAAAAGACCAAACTGAATACATTCATTTTTTAAAATTGAGGTAAAGTGCACTTAAAATAAAATTAACCATTTTCAAGTATATAACTCATCGGTGTCTAATGCATTCATAATATTCTACTACCCTCATCTCTGTCTAGTTCCAAAATATTTTCATCATCCTTGAAGGAGATCTCATATCTGTTAAGCAGTTATCCCATTACCTCTGCCCCTAACCCTTGGCAACTATCGATCAGTTTTATCTTTATCAGTTTACCTGTAAATATACTCACATGTATGACTTTTTCTGTTTAGCTCATTTACTTAGTATTTTTCAAGATCCATTCGCAAAGGATATAACAGAACTTCATTTCTTTTTATAGATGAATAATATTCCACTGTATGGATATATGTGTTTTATTTATTCATTCATTTCTTGATGGACATCTAGGTTGTTTGTACCTTTTGGCTATTATGAATAATGGCATGAACATTCAAGTACAAGTATTGAATATTCATTTTCTTTTTTTTTGTATATATACCAAGTGGAATTGCTAGATAATTCTATATTTAAATTTTGAGAACCTAAACTGCATTTAATGGTGACAGACCATTTTACATTCTTACCAACAGTGTTCAAGGGTTCTCATTTCCCCAGGTCCTTGCCAGTACTTGTTATATGAACTTTTATTTTATTGAGTATGAAGTAGTGTTTCATTGTGATCTCAATTTGAATTTTTGTAAATAAGTACTCTTTTTTATTATTATTTAAAGAAAGACAAAACAAAACAGAAAATGGGCAGAAATAGAACATACTTTCAAAGAAAAGAAATAAACAGTAATAAATCACTAGTTGATGTATATATATTGTCCACCCACAAATAGTTATTCAAGATACAAAAGTGGAACGTATAAATGGAAATTCAACCAGGGAGACTGCAAACAGTTCTGTTCAACTATCCAACAAAAACTAAGTAATATGGCTATCAATCCTATACACTTAGACATGTACACATATATCCATATCTTCATTTATGTTGAGACCTAACAAAACTTATTAGATTAAAATCCTTCTGAACAAAGATTAATTATATTGCTGGATTTCACATCATAACACTCCAGAATCAGCACTGGGTACTGCAGTGCTCCTTGCTTTCCTTCAAAGTATTTGCTCATTTCATCATGTGTCATAAGATCAGTTCTCATAAACTTTATAGGTTTTACTCAAGCATGAGTCTTACTTAACATGTATTTCTATCCTTTCTATATTAGAGGGAGAAACAGAACAAAGCAGGATAGAACTAAACATTTTCCTATAGACACATAAAACCAAAAAGACATATAAAACTGTTGTATAAGGAGTTCTACCATGGTCACTGAGCTGTTTCTTGTTATCATCAACAGAATTGGCTATATCATCAGGTAAAATATAATTGAACATATTGGTACGTAACAGAATTAACAGAAATACAATTTTGTAGATAGTGTAGAGCTACAAAAACAGGTAGTAATCAAATCAGAATGGATATTGTGGTGAATCATTGTCATTTTCAGTATAGTTGTCTATACTCCTCAACTTGATACCAGCAACCTAACAGCTTTGAATAAAATCTGTCAATAATAAGCAGCAATCAAACAAGTCAGATTTAACTAAGATCAGTCATGATACAACAGTATAAGTCACAGAGGGATCCTGATTGAGTTAATTGAGAAATTAAAGATGACCACTGTGCTATGTCCTGATATCTTGGGACAGCTGTCTGTGCCCTCAGATCTAGTGCTTGTATACAAACTAGGATGGAACAAGTTCCAACCAAGAAGAGTGGTGCGAGTAATAGGGGTTTTAGTTCCTGATTAACTATTAGCTATATCTTCTGCTGTTTTTTTTAAAGACTATTCCTCCCCTTTACTCCCCCAGAATGAAGTGTATATTTTTGGGTCTTCCAAATACTCCCAGTTTTGTATTGGAGGGGCAACCTGCTATTTACCTCAGTGCTTCTGGACTTTCTCACTCCTGGGCTGGATTTCTAGTTATATTTCTTCAGTTATTAAAGCCTGTCTGTTCAACCTATCCATAAATACTGGTCCAGCTACCCCTATTACTCTCTGGTTCCCTATCACATTGAGTTCCATTTTCTCATATTTGATTTTGGTTCATATAACCTTCTTTAGGCTAATTATATTTACTATAAAGAGCTTCTTGGTGGATCCTACCTCTTGATCCACTCTGCCTGCGATTCTCTCTTTTTTCCCCTTAAGTTAGTGTATCTAGGCCATCTATATTAGAAATTATATCCAACCTTCTTTGCCTCATTTCTGTTGTGCTCTTTTTCTGTCATTAGTTATCTGTTTGTCTTCTTCATTTTACTTTCTGCTCCATTCATTGTGGCCTCTCTGCCGCTGTTTCTGAAATCCTGGTACTTTTCTCTCTCTTTAGAATGTCCTGCAGTATTCTTTGTAGAGTTGGATTGATGGTTGAGAACTCCCCCAGTTCCTCTTTATCTTGGAAGCACCTTGTTTCTCTATTAATTTCTAGGGACAGTTGTGCAGGATATATCAATCTTGGCTGGAGGTTATTGTCTTTCAAGGTGTGGATTATTTCGACCCACACTCTTTGAGATTTGATGGTTTGTGCTGAGAATTCTGCTGTAATTCTGATGAGTGTTCCCTTGTAAGTGATCTGTTTCTTGTCTCTGACATCTTTTAATATTCTGTTCTTATATTGTATTTCTGGAATCTTGATTATTATATGCCTAGGTGTAGTTCTGTTTTGATTGTAGGTGGCTGGAGTTCTGTATGCCTCATACATCTGAGCATCTTTTCCTTTTCCTATGTTTGGAAAGTTATCCTTAATTATTTCTGTGAATAGCCTTTGCAGTTCCTTTGTTTGTACCCCTGCTTCTTCTTTTACATTCTTTATCCTCTTGTCATCGTCTAGCCTTTGTATTGTTACTGCTTGTTTCCTTGTTATTTTTAAGAAGTTTTTCCTTTCATGTTCCCACATTACAAACCTGTCCTCCAGATAATCTACCCTTAGTTTTTTTTCAAGCTGTTATGCCAGTTTCAATAAAGTTTTTAGTTTCCTGGTAATCTCTTTGAACCTGCTTCATGTATTCTATGCTTTCTCTATTTTCTCCATGAAACAATTCTTCCCCCACCTTTTTTTGTTCTTCCATTCTACCTTTTGTTTTTTCTAGGGAGGTGTTTAGCATTTCTTTAATTATTCTATTTTTTCTTGCTTTACTTGGTTAAATACTTCACTTTTGAACTTGTCTATGAGGTCCCAAAGGTATCACTTTATGTCTATTGGTGCCATGCCTGATATTGCAGTTTTCTGTCCTCATTATCCTTTGCACTTACCTTTCCTGGATCAGTGTTCTCAGGCTTGGGGACTGAGGACCCTTTCTTGTTGCCTCCTCTTCTCATATTTTTTTGTTCCTTTCATACAGGCAAATATAGGAGGCCCAGTTTCTTTCTTTGTCGGTTTCAGTTTGTCTGAAGCGTGCTGACCAGTACTCATGTTTTAAGGCATAGAATTAATCAGAAAATGAGTTTTGGTAAGAAAAAAATCAACTTCAAAATGACTGGCTTCATCTGTTTTCAGGAGATATTTCAAATTGGCCTCTATTCAGCCAGTCATGACGGTATATCTTTTTAATCCCCACTGATTAGAAGGCTGAGGTAGGAGGGACATAAGTTTGAGGCCAGCCCTGACAGCTTAGTAAGATCCTATCTCGAATAAATCTTTTTTTAAAAAGGGGCTGAAGCTATAGATCAACATTCTCTGGGTTACATCCCTAGTTACCCTGCCCCTTCCCACAACCTGTATATCTGATATATAATCACTTTTAGGGTATATCATATCAGGCTGAAAGTAAAGAACTTTGAGATTAGAAAGGACATATGTGATAGTAAGGTCACAATCATCCCTTTACTTTAAAAAAGTCTCTTAAATTTATGAGTATCATATTTTGTTTTCATGGCACCTACCATTCTTTGCATTTTGTATCTTTAAAAAATAATATAATATATTTGTGCCTTAACTTATTTATTTATTTTTTACAGTGTGAAAGAAGACACGCAGGATGGCTCAAGGATCTGGGGATCAACGAGCAGTGGGAACTGCTGACCCAGAAGAGAGTTCTCCCAACATGATCGTCTACTGCAAAGTAAGACCGCTGGTTGGCACTGGGCAGGCTGCTGCTGTGTGTGCCTGTGTCCTGGGGAAGGGTAAACAGATGGCTGACAGCAAGACAAAATGTTTTCTGTCCAGACTGCCTTGATTGATAAATGAGTATTTTCTTCTCACCTCCTCTGATTATCTAATGTTAAAATCCAAGGAAGTTATCGTACTTGAATTCTTTGTGTTGAACACTTGAAAAGTTTTATGTCATTTAGTTTTTCTTTTTAACCCAAAAGTTGCCTGAGAAATTCAGGTGGAGATATGTTCTTTGATATAAAGCTCTTCATGGTATAAAGTAAGATTTATAAATTGAAAGTTCTTCCAACTCCTAGTATGTACAAGATATGGGCTAGATGCTGTAAGACACATAGAGGTATGTCTCTATTAGATGTTTACAGTTGGCAGGAAACATAAAATACACAAATAATTGTGATAGTTTAAGTGTTAGTTTCCAAAACAGAGGCACAAGTAGAGTATTCAATCATCTCAGAGGACAAGATGCATTCTCCTAGCACTGAGGGTCACATGGGCTTGAAGAGGAGTGGTCTTTGGACTTGGTTTTAAAGTATGTGTAGAATTGCTTTGTAGGAAAGCAAAGAGAAAGAAAATTTTCAGGTAATGGGATATGTTTAGCTAAGGCACAGAACTGGAGACTGTGAGCAGCAACTGGAACTTTGGTTTGGGGATAAAACAAGTTACAAAGAGTAAATAATAAAAATTTGGGGAAGAACCAGATTTTAGAGAGTTGATTATAGGCAGTTCAATCATGAAAAACTTGAGTGCTGAGAGTTGCTAAGTAAGTATCTCTTGGGATTGGAACCCATGCCCTTGTGTGCTAAATGGATTGTTATCAAGATAGGTTTGAGGCTCTTGGGAGGATGTTTCTGGTTTGTGGAAAACATAAGGAGACACCAGTCTAACTGGGGCACTGCCATTCAGAATTGAGAAGGACTGATGAGACTTGAAAACTGGCTGAATAGAGAATTAGGAGGCAAGTGGAAGATAAAGATAACTAAGTGTTTGTCCTAGGATGCTAGAAAGAAATCTGTATTATTAATTCAAATAGAAGGAGGACACATTTTAAGAGGAAGAAATATGGCACTGACTTATTCTTGTGCATGTTAAATTTGAGGAAATAATGCTTCACATATTTGTGAAAATTGAGCCTAATAATACCATGTATTAATAAGGAAATAACAAAGTTAATTCATTTCAATAAATATTTAAGTTGTCTTTGGGTTCTGTACATTCTGTAATTCTTTTTTTTTTTTGATCTATGTTAAAGATATGGACAGTGTTGAAATACATATTCCTGGATGGATATAATGCAGTGAGTTTTTCTATTTTCTTCACAAAAACAGAATTCTCATTATTTTTTGAGTATAAAATTTGTAATTCTTTGCTTTGCAAGGGGATAACCCATCTATCAGAGAGATACTTATTAAATTATAAAAAAATAGATTAAAGAAGTTAAGCAATTAGAGAAGCATACATAATAATAGAAGTTTATTTGTTCATCATTATCTTCTTCATTCCAAGATGGGAGATTCTGTGCCAGGCTAGCAGAAACATGGGCTTTAGAGTCAGGCCTGAATTAAAATTCTAACTATACTACATTCTACCAATGTGACCTTAAGTTATTTATTTAACTTCTATGAACTTAACTATAAAAAGAAAAGAGAAAAAAAGCCCAGGACAGTAGGTTACTAGAAAGGTCTATTTAGATAAAGTGACCAAGGCATCGTATATCCCAGTTGGTCCATAGCATGGTCCATAATGAAATAGTTCTTTTTCTTTTGTTGTTAGGTCTTACAGGGAAAGTGACATTTGAAGAAGAAAATAATTATACGTTAATGTTGGTTCTGTTAATAAGTCAACCAAAGTGCACTTACACAAGTTACCTTGTTAAGCACAAGAAAACAATATACATATTTTTATATTATTCAAGGGGTTACAGATCCATGGATTGTTAAAGGTTAATAGGAAATATAAAGGTCAAGCAATCTAAACACCTTTCTATTAGAATGTTTGGTATGATGTTGAAAAGAAAATACTTTCTTCCCACAATTTATGATTTTTATTTTTGGGTAGTAGGTCCCTCCCTTTTTTTTTAAAATTTAGGAATGTACTTTTCAATTGTTATAATTGTTTAGAGAAATGACTAAAATATATAATTGCTGCTAGTGACACATTTGTGTAGGAGTTATGTGTGTTTATGTTGTTGGCTATATTAATTGCTATAAAAACAATTAATTGAATATGTTCAATGTATTATGATTACAATATATATTGATTACAAATGCGCCCCTGCCTGGGAACCATTTGAAATCTAGATATACTATGGTTATGTTCAAACTGTGGATATTCACAAATTTTCCTTTTTCTTGTTTGGTTATGACCAAGAATTTACCTGCTGTAGGATGTTACCTTCAAAATATAAGTAAAGAGAAAATCTTGAAAGCAAACAAAATTGTAAGCATTTTCTGTGGATGGCCTTTTGTGTGATCATTTATTCAAGGTTGTAGCCACAAAATTAAATGTTGGCTTGCATATCTACAACTAAAATTTACATATTAGAAAATTGTGTTTCCTTTTTTGTTGTCTTTCTCTTGTCACAGAAATTTTCAATTATGAAATATTTGCTTGGGCTTTGTTGTATTGACATGGATACTAACATTTTAAAAGCTAGATCTAGAAAAATGGAGTGTGTGGGTAAACGTCTGAGTAATAAGTGGGATGATTATGTTCATACTGTTGTGACTGCTGTATTTCTTATTTTCATTTGGCACATAATAGTTGTACAGATGTAGAAGATGGAATATGATGTTTTGATATTTGTACACATTGTGGGATGATCAGATCAGCAATTAGCATATCTTTCATCTCAAATATTTATTTGTGGCAAAACATTCAAACTCCTTGCTTCTAGCTGTTTTGAAATATATAAGACATTGTTAACTATGGTTGTTTTGACTTTGAAATGCTGTTCAGTGTGGCAACCTGAAGTGGTATAAGTGGTGATGGGTTTTGTTAGCCCATACCTTTCAGAACACTCCTCATTTTCTTTTCATGTTTTAATGTTATTAACTGTGAGAAGTTGTACTTTCCGGAGGCATGATTTATTTATTGACTTGAACAGAGTTTCTAATTTAGTTTTTCATCCTTCATATTCACATTTTGGGTAGGAGGTATGTATGAAAAATGTATTGGTCACATTAAAGGTCTATTTAAAAGCAAACCTTAAGTATTCATTGGAACACCCAGCCCTGTTCACCTTTTTTGTATTCCTGGGTCCCTAGGATCTCAGGTCCTTGACTTGCCCAGTGGAGTGATCATATCGGAATCTAGATGTGCATCATAACATTTAGGGATGCTTCCTAAAAATACCTCAAATGACCTCCTTCTTCCAAGTATTTTTTTTAATAGGTCTGAAAAGATTCTTAGGAATCTCAGGGGAATTTGGCACCTAAGTTTGAAAAGCACCTATTTGGTGTCTTTTAGTGTCCAGGTATCATATGTATTGCAAAGTCATGGAAAGGGTGATGCTTTGAATTGGATTTTTATTTCTCGATTTTTTATAGATGTCTCAAGGTGTATAAGAATGAGGTTCTAGTCACAGATTTAGAATATTGGTATCTATAGATTTTCTGTTTGTTTGTTTGGTTTTTTATCAGTACCGGGGATTGAACTCACGACTACGTGCTTGCAAGGCAGGCACTTATGCTCCTGAGCTAAATCCCTAGCCCCGGTATCTATAGATTTTCTAGTCAACATGCTTATTTTATAGATGAAAAGCTAAAAGAATGGAGAGGATAAATAGCTTAAAGTGTCCCATGAATTTCCCAGTGAGCCTCATTACCCTGGTCATTGTTGTCTCTAGCAGTCATTGGTACCACCATGATATTAACCAAAGACTACTGTTAACACATTGGTGGAACTCAACAGTGCATGGCTAAGTTAAATAACCAAAAATACTATGCAGGCCACTTTCATGCTTATTGTTAAATTAACTTCTTATATTTGTCATGCTAAAATTTCATTCTACTCACTGTGTTCTTGTTTTTCAGGTAAAGATTTCTAAAATATTTACCTCTAGAATTTTTTAAAAAGAGCAGATTGCTTTTTGATTTTGTTTGCTTTTCTTTGAGTATTGCTAACAAAGTCTTTAGACAAATTTCCACTAGACTGGTGATTTGATTTGGTAGAACTCTGGCCTCTTAAATGGTGAATGTGCAGTGGAAATTCTAGCTTAGTTTGACCTTGTCTTGGGTTAAGAGGCAGTACACAGTGATGGGAGATGCCAAGTAGGGAACTAGGTGTTCTGAGTAGCTGATCTCAGCTTTGGTTTTTACTGCTTTGGTTCTGTGGATGGAAAACTTTTATCTTCATTAATTTGTTTCCTATTTTCTCTTTCTCTTTCCTTTTTTCCCCTCTCCTCCTTCCTAATTAAATGCTTTTAGCACAGAAGTAGTCTGTAAGTTAAAAGAAGAATAAAATAAGAACTGTATTTCTACCATTAGCTTAATAAATAAAACATTATTTTGGCTTCATTTTCTTCTTTTGTTTTTTGGAAAGTGAGGAAATAATGTGCAAATACCTTTCTGCAGTGATTTCAAAGTTTCATTATGTAAATATTTAGTCTTTCAGAAATTAATGCCTGGTATTGAAACAATGCTGTGAAACTATATGCACGTTTAAAGGTCTTTGGAATCTTGCTGGAAATATTTTACAGTCAGGTAACCTAAATTGGATTGAGATTAAACCAGATCTATAGTAAAGCATCAGAAGAAAAAAATTTAATTGTAATGATTTCACACTGAACATTGAATGTTAGATATTTTCTTTGCAGTGACTTATTTCTTTGGCTTGGTAATACATGAAATTTGTCAAATGTTTTACAGTAATAATTGTATGTTATATACATATTAGGAGATGTATTTAAGTAGCAGCACTGTATATTATAATATATAATGTTACGGGTAAATTACAGGTTTAGAGAAGTAGAAAAACCCTACATTTTTTGTATGTCAAAGGGTAGCTCCACACTTTGTAGCTGATAGCTTCCCTCACCTGATAGTATCTGGTTAACTCTTTTGCTGCTGGAACTTGAATCTAGCCTTTGTGTTGCTGTGATACCACAAAGTTACTTGCTTTAATGATTGAGGATCCTTGAAGTTCTAGGAAAAAGCTAGTCCTGGCATATGCATTTCTGGCAAGTAAATATGGTGCTATTTTAGTTTCATAGGCAGTGGAATGCAGCAAGAGGTGGAAACGTAGCCTTAGAGGCAGGGCTATGGAGGAAAACAGAGTTGTCCTGAAATCCAGAGAAGTAAGTGGTAGAAGCCAGCACAACTAAGAATCTGGAAACTCAGAAGCCTTGGTGACCAAAAGCATAATGAGGATTGGAAACCACTGAACCAGTATGGATTGTCACTTGTGTGCCAAACACTGTTAGATGCTAGGAATGCAAGGATGAAGCCTGAATCCTCAATGGTCCCATAATCTAACTGGGGAGGGATGGTACCCAGACAATTTCAGTGCTGCTAGAGACAAGCTGAGGAGCCTGGAAGGAGGTAGAAGGATCAGGTAGTTCATATCAGGAGTGAGGTGATGATGTCATAGAGGATACCACAGAGTTTGGTACCAGCCTTTATTTTTGAAAGATGAACAGGACTTAACCTGGTAGAAAAGGGAGAAAAAGTAAAGGATGTAGAGGGGCTAGCACATGGAAAGGGGAAGGATTATAATGTTGTACTGAGTGCTGAAAACTTTAAGTGGTCATTTTCATGAATCCAGGATTCTGTGAAGATGGGATGAGACATAAAACTAGGTAAGTAGATTAAGACCTAATACATCATACCATAAAATTGGTATCTTCCCTTTCTGCTTCCACACCCTCAACATGCTGTTTTTTGTTCCTAAAGGCTAAGCCATGTGAAGGATATTTACTGGACTCTTGTGACCTCTGGTTTCCAATTTAGTGGTAAATAGAAATCTGGAGAGAAATGGGATGTAATGAAAATAGCCGAGTCAGGGTTCTGACTTCCTTTGGTGGTCTCTCTGCAAAGTCTTTCACTGACTCCATCCTTTCACTGAAGGTTATTAATCTTCTCAAGGCAGACTCGTCTTTTCTAGGTCTTGATACCTTTCCTTTTCCTCTACTCATCTTTTGGGCTTTGGGATGGTTCCAGTTTGTGTCAGCTTGTAATAAATTACCTGAAAACTCAGTGACTTAAACAGATCACTTATTATATATTTATTGGTCAGCTTTCATTGTTGTGACTGAAATACCTGGCACAAATGATTTAAATGAGAAAATTTACTTTGGCT